ACAGTCGAACATCGAATGACGTCTCGCGTTACTGCCGATACGAAGCCCACCATAGACATTCCCACATCAAATGGACATAATGGCGGGCCCGAAAAGTCACAAACACTCCCCACTGGCAAATATAGCGAGACGAGCAGTTCACCTTTGGAGCCTTTACTCCTTACAATGCAACCGTCATCGCCGCTCTCCCCCACACACTCTCTCCGAGATGTACAGAACGATGCTCAAAATGGCTCGCGATTTCCCCTCACCAATATCGATAACCCCAACGACATTGCACAGGAGCTCAGTAACTTGCAGGCTTTGCGCCGCATGTCCATGGATGTCGGAAACTCGGCAGACCCCGACCTTGTTCCTTTCCAGGGGCTGTCTTTGATGGCCATGCCATCTATAGCACCATCCGGAGAAGACGATGAGGGGGACATATCGAGGCTGTTATGGGTTCCAGCAAAAGTCCATCCGGAATTGGCTCCAGACCAGTTCAAAAGTTTCTTGGAGAAACGCGTTCAGTCTATCAAAAGACGATCAGGAGACTCACAACTTGCTACTGACGGCCAGCAGCCAAGAGCGGATGGTGGTGGGCTAGGACGAAATAAGTCTATGCTTTCTCGACAAGTTGAGAGCAAAAGCACCGAGACGAACTGGGGCGGAGCTGGCAATGACCAAAACGGTGCCGGAGACTGGCGTCCGAGGAGAAAGACCTCTGAAACTAGCGCCATTCAAAGTGGCCCCGAACTCAACCTCAATGACCTATTGAATGACTCTACTAAGATCGTTCAGAGATTGGCATTGGATTCTCAAAGGCAGACAGGTAGTTTGGATATGTCTAGTCTTGACGATAAACCAATACTGCCTGTTGCATCAATGGGCTTACGACGGTCTACTCGAACGACGTATCGCAAAGGCGGTAGCTTACGTTCCGGTGACCGGGTCCCGCTCTCCAGGCGATCTGCCGGAGCTCGCCAACCTCGAAGAAATACTGATAGTGACGAAGGAAGGTCTGCCAGCCATGCACCGGTTTCGGAACCAGTCCCCCCCGCCGGCCTTGATCTGCAACACGCCAGCTCTGAACCTTCGGCACCCGAAAACTTTTCACATCCCGTTCGGCCTGTTATGCGACAGCATCAGCTTGTCTCCCAAGATGGCGATGGATCCGTGGAAGGTATCTCGGATCAGCCACCAGCCACAAGAAACACTCCTAGAAAAACGTCGACTACTACGTTACCGGAATTTGATACTACACCTCCAATGTTAGCTACGGAGTTTGTTGCTGAAGGAGGACCAATTGAGTCTCATGAGTCCCAGCCAGCACCGCAAGTGCTCCCCACCGCATATGATGCTAAGGTCTTCCCATACCGATCGTCGTCTCAAAGCAGTTTGAATCACGGGCCAGCACAGCCAAGTATAATGTTTGATGCACCGCAATCGCAGTCTGATATCGGTTTACAGCAAGAACAAAACCGACCACAGCAGTCTCGGCAGCACCCTCCGCCAAAGTCCATTAAGAGCCCGTCTTTCGGTAGACCTTCCTATCAGAGTTCCGACACCTCTTCATCTTCCGGACCCAATACCACGGCAGGCCAGGCATTGAATGGCATGGTTAACCTTCCATTCGCCGTTCCCGGACATAGCTCCTCGCGGACTGACGGTCTATCAGTTATCCCAACTCTTCCGGTTGACGACAGAAAGGCAGATAAAAAACTGCGAGACAAGGAGGAGACTGAGGGCGGGAAGTCGACAGGTTGGAAGTGGTTCAAGAGCGACGAGAGAGAGAGGAAAAAGAAGGGGAAAGACAAAGAACGAGATCGAGAGAAAGAAGATCAGGCCAAAAAAATGCGCTCAAAAGCTGACCGGCCTCAGTCGGAGAAAACGCATGATGGCGCTCGATTGGACGTGCTCCAGAGCTCCATTGACAGCTCCGGCACTAAAGAGCGAGAAAGTTTACTTCTGGACCGAGACGGTCTCGGCGGAAAGTCACACGAAGACAAGGTTGATTCTGGTATTCGAAAAACTACCGAGACCAAGAAGGAAAAAGACGGGTTTTTTGGGTCCATTTTCGGGGGATCCCGGCGAAAAGAAAGCAAAGACGGCGGCAGCAACAAGGGGAAGCAAAGGGTCACATCGCCAGACCCCGTCCTGCGACTTCTCCGCCCGGATATTGACTATCCGTACACAAGATTTCCAATCGTCGAGGAACGTGCCATATACCGGATGGCGCATATTAAGTTGGCCAATCCGCGCCGCGATCTGCGGAGCCAGGTATTATTGTCAAACTTCATGTATGCGTACCTCGCGAAAGTGCAAGCGATGCACCCCCAACTCAATGTCCCTACTTCCCCCCACCAGAAACGGCAAGAAGAACGAAAACGCCAGGGACAAGAGTTACAACAGCAACAATACATGGAGCAGCATATATCGATGCAGCAAGGCCACCATTCGCAAGATAGTGGTGACCAGTATGTTTTCGAGTATAGCACGGTAAATTGCATCGCCCCCTGCCAAAAGTCGCTTTTCATGAATATTTTATAACATGGGATACTAACACGCTGTGTAGTCAAGTAGTCAGTATGGTGACACTGGACAGCGTATCGGTGACGACAGATCTATGAACTACGTCGACGACGCCCAGATATTCGAATACGACCATGACGGCTCCCAGAGTGACAATTCTATTGCGGGCATCCCACCTCAGGAACATTTACAGCAGCAACCACACCGACGTCACCAAGATGGTGGTGGCCAGGATTACGAACGCCATTCTGTAAACAGGAAGGTGCGTGGTTATTACGATTATGGCCACGCAGATGATGGTCACCATAGCGAAAGCGATATGTGGGGATGAGCAAGGAGCGACTCTGGGTTGCGTCTCTGCGGTCGTTTCGAGGTGTTTGTAGAGGTTTATTATTATGAGATTATGAGAGAATCAAATTAATTATCACTCACGATATAACAGCTCTGAACCAATATATCGTCTGCTTTTGTCGTGTTGGGCTGCCCGAGAATTTCGATTTCATGAAACAGAAAGGTGTATGTATGCTACTGAGTTGGCATGCCTCGTCGGTTCCAGAACGATGCCGTAGGCACCTCATGTCATATCGCCCATAATATGGTTCGTTTTAGTTTGACAACTGTCACAAGATTCTGTACTATTTCAAAGCATTTGCTCTCTGCCGAAGTGTGTTCTCCTCTACAACACCAAGTTTCACATTCTTATGCAAAATAGGTTTGATAGCTAGCACTACGAGAAGTGTGGTCAATGGCGACTCTGCACCCGCTAAGGCAACTCATATGTGACGTCGAAACAGATACATAACGAATGTTTTGTTGTATTCATATTTCATGGTACCTTAAGATGTCGAAGTTTCATCTACTCATACTGTGTGATATCTGGCTCTTAGTAAACAAGCTAGTCCTAATCTAGAAAGGCACTACTTTTATCCTGGCACGTTTCCCCTAATTGGCCTCTGGACTGGTAACACCCTGCACAGCAAAATGAAATTGCGGTAGAAATACTCCGTACCAGACGGCTTACCGACGAAGAGAGCTTTCTTTTAACTTTCCGTCCATTCATACTGCACGCATCTCCCCGCAAAGGACAATCGGAATCGACAATTGACATCGAACATCTACTATCGCTTGCTACGACGTTGATATATCAGCTGCATTCTCGTTCTGCCATTACTTTGTTTGCTATTTTGCCCGTTTTCGCCACCTCTCGAGCAAGTTTCAAAGCTACCAGGTAGAATATCAAACAAGAAAACAGAAGAAGGGTGCCATACAACGAAGGCCACATCCCCGCGGCCCTTCGTCGTCGATTGTTTTCTTTGGTTGTTTTGTTTCGCCGTAAGAAGGCTGGGAAAGAACTGCAACTGCAGCTTTTTGCGTCCCGTCCTCATCTGGCTTACGCATTTATCCGACATCACCACTACACCTCCAACTACACGGGACTTGCCATGGCTTCCGTAAGTTTGTTTTTGCCTGAGCTCATGTTTACTGCTTACACCAATCTCCAGGGCTGTTATCGTTTTACATGTTTTCTCTGGGGGCCACCATGGTGCTTGCTCTGTGGCGAGTAAAACTTGTCGCCTCTTCAAGACTTGTATCGACACGGGTGCTAATATTTACTTCATTGATTTAGCAAGCCCGCTCTTCTTTGCTAGGCCAAGGAGGCGCCAGCGCCGGTTCCGCGTATTTGCCAAACGGCGCTGTGTCCTCCACCTCCCTGGGTACTGAAGCGCGACCGCTGCTGCCCAACCAAGGGCGCGTTGTACAGACTGGTCCCATCCGAGTTCTCTGTATTGCAGACGTTCGAGGTATGTTTACTGAATGCACGATATTCACTCAATAGTCTGAATATGCTAGAAAGTGCTAACCTGGGCTTTACATTAGGAAACTTGAGATCGTTGAACGATCTTGCCAAGCAAGCACGTGCTGATTATATCATACATACCGGTGATTTCGGATTTTATGATGACACGTCGCTGGAGAGAATTGCCGAAAAGTAAGTAGCTTAGACTCTGAATCGCTGTTTCTCTAAGTCGCTGGTTCGATCTTGGTTGCCTGTCATCTAGTTGTTTGTTGCAGTGCTGACATCAAACCTGTCTAGAACCCTCAAACACGTTGCCCAATATTCGCCGCTCATTTCCGAGCCTATCAAAAAAGCTATTGCACAGCCTGGCACTGGCTCGTCCGTGAAATCTCGATTCCCACCCCGCGAGCTTCCATTGTCCGAACTGTCCCTCCTGCTAAATGGCGATTTGAAACTGGACGTACCAGTGTACACTGTTTGGGGAGCTTGTGAGGATGTCCGAGTTCTCGAAAAATTTCGCTCCCGTGAATACAAGGTTAATAACCTTCATATCATTGACGAAGCTCAATCGATGCTTCTCGAGATCGGGGGCGTGAAGCTCCGCCTCTTGGGCCTTGGTGGTGCTGTTGTCATGCATAAGCTTTTCGACAACGGCGAAGGCCGTACGACAATTGCTGGTGGCCAAGGCACAATGTGGACGACACTGCTTCAGATGGGTGAGCTCGTGGACACCGCCAATCGTGTTTACGATCCGACTGAGACTCGTATTTTCGTTACGCACGCATCGCCCGCACGCGAAGGCATTTTGAATCAGTTGTCGGTGACTTTAAAGGCTGATTTTTCTATTTCGGCCGGCCTCCATTTCCGCTATGGTAGTTCATACAACGAATTCAGCGTTAATCCGACTCTCGATCATTACCGCGGCAAGCTTGCAGCGAGCAAAGCCTCATTCAACGATGTCTGGGAAACGGTCAAAAACGAGGTAGAGCCGGCTATCCAGCAAAACGAAGCACAGCAAAACCTGCTGAAGAATGCCCTTGGTATCGTGGAAAAGATGCCGACAACGGCAGCCGGCGGCAATCCGTTCGGCGGATCTGCTGCAGGCCCACCTGCCCTTGGACAGGTTGACGAAAGCGCATTCAAAAACATGTGGAATTTTAACCTCGCGGATGCTGCGTTTGGCTACCTTGCCCTGGAAATACAAGACGGGCGCATTGGTACGGAGATGCGCGCCCAAGGCTTCAACTTCTCCCATCGCGGTATGAAGCAGCAGGCGAACTCTTCCCAGCAGGCTCAGGCACCCGCAACATCCACTGCCTCACCTCAGCCTTCGAGTGTGCTCCCACCCCCTCCCCAGGATCAGCAATCGTCTATTTCGATGTCGCAAAAGCTACCGGCTTCGCAAACGCAACAGCAGGTCCCAGTGTCTATATCCCACTCTAGCAAAACTGCAACCACCTCCGTTTTAGGCTCTACGAAGCCCCCGGTGCCCCAGCTTTCTACACCTGCTCTTAAGGACAACGAAAAGCATACATCTTCTGGGGCATCAAACGGTAATGTGTTAGGCTCAGAACCGACGCAATCGCCCGTACCAAGAGCTCCGTCTACAGACGTGATTGGGCTTTTTATTATGAATGCGCAGTCTGACGACCAGACCAGGGAGCTTTTTGCGAGTGAGGATCTGCAAAAGATAGTGAAGATTGAAAAATATGGGCAGACGAACAAAGTCGTCCATTTTAAGACCATGGGGGATCGAGATGATGCGATGGACCGATTGCCAGAGGAAGCAAAACATCGCACCACCGAGGATCGTTCGAAGCCTCTGGTCAAGATCTTTATCCCAAGGGAGTCAAATAAATCTTTCGGTCGTGACCGTGGTAGTGCTGGCACCTGGGGAAGCAGCAACAGAGGCGGTTCCCACACTGGCGGTTCTGGGCAGAGTGGCTACCGCAGTGCTGGCGGAGGCACAGGTACGGCGAGTGATAGTGAAGGAGCCGGCCGCCGTGGTGGAAGCGGCCGAGGTGGGCGGGGAGCTGGGCGCAGTGGAGAAGGCCGTGGTCCGCGAGGCCGCGGAGGCCCAAGGGCTGCGGTGAAGGGTGACGGAGGCAATGGGTCTTCAACTGCCACCCCGCCGGCACCTTCTGATGCCTAACACAGATGTTGTGCGTTGTTTTTTGCTCTGTTTATTCGTTTATTTGCCAGTCGTCATGTGTGTATTTGCGTGTTGCCTTGTAGCTAGTTGCTTTGCTTAAATAGCAACACCGCCTCGTTTACTAGTGGGCAGCTTCGCCATATGTCGGTTATATTATACGTTCGTCTTGTAGGTCGAAAAACACTCTGGTGGACTCTTATAAAGGTACCAACTTGGTAATTGAATTCAAACATGTGTGAGTATATTATTACTCGTGGGATAGGGATAAAACATAGAGAAGCAACTGATATGTACAAGGTTGTCCATAATACCAGCTAATGTAAAATATCATATACATGGCTATGTGAAGCTGCTCTCTACACAAACACAGCTGAGCAGACACTCCCTCGGCAATAAAACAGAGCTCTCCGTCGAAAGAGTCAACCATGTTAAACGTGTAAAACTGACACTAATATCACAACTTTCACATTACGAATTAGCATCAACTCTTGTATGCCTCGGTCGAACATGTACATAGTAAAAATGACCGAGCTAGCAAAAGAACCCGAATAGAAGACGAACCGTACAAAAATAAGTTAAATAAAAGCAGAAAGAAATGAATATGGTCGCAAAAGACCGACACAAGACCTAAATCACACTCAATTAAGTCCATAGGCCACCATCACTATGCGTCGAATCGCCCGACGAGTTCGTCGACTTCCTTAAGCGCCAATGCATACATAATACCCCAAGTCAATGTTGGTGCACGCCGAGTTCACACTCGGGTTCCAATTGGCCCATTGCGCCGCCGTGATGCCTGCCGCCGCCTCAATGGAGGCGCACGTGTCACCCGAGGCGACTAGGTGGTATTTGGTGCACGTCGATATGGTCCCTGGCTGAAGCGGAGAAGGCGTCGAAGACACAGCACCACCGCCTCCTGCAATGCACAGGTAGTAGCCAACTTGAATGTTGGTGCAATCGGCGTTAACGCCCGAGTTCCAGGCGGCGAACTGTGACGACGAAATTCCAGCAGCAGTCTCAATGGCCGAGCAGCTGTCACCGGCTACCACGAAGTGGTAGGCCGTGCAGTTATCGAAGGTGCCGGGTTGGAGGGGGGATGGGATAGCCGAGACAACGCCGCCGCCACCGCCAACACACAAGTAGTAGCCGACATCAATGTTGGTGCAATCGGCGTTAACGCCCGAGTTCCAGGCGGCGAACTGTGCCGACGAAATGGCAGATGCAGTCTCAATGGCCGAGCAACTGTCACCGGCTACCACGAGGTGGTAGGCCGTGCAGTTGTCAAACGTGCCTGGCTGGAGAGGAGAGGGCACAGTTGACGCGGTGGACGTCTTGGATGTTGAAGAAGTCGTCTTAGACGAGGTGGTCGCCTTGGACGTAGTGGATATGGACAACGAGCTAGGTTGTACCGTCGTAGTTCCTCCCGGCACACCGACACAGACGTAGTAGCCGGTCAACAGGCCCAGACAGTTGCTTTGCAAGGCCGGGTTCCACGTCAAAAAGTCTGCGGCCGACACGCCATACGATGACTCGATCTTTGAGCACGAGTCTCCCTTAACCACATGGTGGAAGTTGTTACAGTCGGCTGCTAGCCCAGCCTGCGTCGGAGCGGGTTTGCTACCGGTAATCGACGAGGTAGACGAGGACGTCGTTGACGTTTTGGTCGTGGTAGTTTTCGACGTAGTCGTGGGGTACGTCGAAAACGAAATGTCCAGGCTCGACGGCCCACCTGTCCCTGTCGGCAGCGTATAGCTGACCGAGGTCGTAGAGCGGTTCGGGCCGACGGTTCCCGACGTGGACGGGCCGCTGACAGTGCCCAGGACGCAATATGGCGTGTCTGGCATCAACATAGGACATGTCACCGTGGGGTTGAGAACCATAAACTGGTCTACCGTTAAACCCCACTCACTGGTGAATTCGATGCACGTTGCGTTGTCGTCCGCTGTGACCCGAAACTCGCAGTTTATGGTGCGAGCAGTGATCTGGTGGCCGACAAAGGGTGCGGTGACCTCGGCGGCCGCGGGGGGGGCAGCAACGGCTATGGTCAAAGCCGGAGTGACGGCCAGCAGAACGGCCGCCAAAAAGGACGAGAAGCGGCCCATAGTGAGATGTTAAACTTGTGAAAAAAGGAGATATTGGTAAACGAGTGTAATTGGGGTGTGACTGCAAGAATGGCGCCCGAATGAAAGACTGAAAGTAAAAGCGTTTCCATGAGATTTTTGTAGGCACTTTTACATCTGGCTGGTGCTCAGATCCAACACGATCCCCAGCCCCAGTTGAAGACAAATGGGTCCTGGGTTTATACAGGTTACAAACACAGTCGGTTGATTCAGGCCGAACCCGTAGGGTTAGCCCGATATGGCCACCGGAAACTCTCAGAGTGCGACGCTGGCGAGTATGCGGCTTTCATGATTTAGTACGACTTTTCAACTCGGAGTTTGTATCGAAGGATGCCGGAATAAAATTAACCAAAAAGTATAAGAATAGGCCAGCCGAAACAGGGACGAACGGAAAGCAATCACCACAGCCAGTCGTGCTATCTCCATGGCCAACGTGGTCAACACCCCCGAGCCATGGTATAGATTGCAATATTTTTGCTTTCCCAACTCCGTACGGAAGTAACTTGATTACAACGACCAAACCAGGTCAATTGGATCAACCTTGTTCAGCCTCTGCTCTACGCTGTAAGCTGGCCAAAAAGAACTGCTTGCCATATTCGATGACACACTCCGCGGACAGTTCTACTTTTCTTTTCTTTTCCTTTTCCTTATAGATTTCCTTGGTTATTGCCCTTGCCAGACTCACCTGCCTCTTCATTTCGCAGGTCGGAGATCCATGGTATTCTGTCCATCCAAGGCAGAATCACGATAAAGGGCTAGACACACAGTTAAAAGAAAGAAAGAAAGGGATTGCATGTGGGGGTAACGCAATGTACACACACGGGATCGATGCCCTACTTCGGCTACGACGGCCCACACGTTGTAGGCAAAGGCAGGTGTTGCTGCAGGGAGGTCGGCGTAACAGTATCAAGGATAAGAATAAGAACACAAGTGGCTCGTCGTGATAACGCAACGTTACGTAGAGGTATGCAGGTACATTGTTGACCGTATCAGATGACTGCCACTGAAGTACGAAATCAGATAACGGATCGTCGCATCTACCTTCCTTACAGAGCATATAACATAGAAATGGGCCTGCGGAATATCACTAAAGGAGGAACAAGAGGATTCAGATCCCAGTGTCGGTTTGAATGCGAAATTGAACAAAGGATGCGGGCCACTGCGCGGACATGACCGACGGCGAAAAGGGTCCAGTGTTGAAGTGGACAGTGGACAATGGACAGCGGACAGACGACGTGGGAGCCGACCTTAAGGTACTTTTCTCCTTCTCCGACAATGCACGCTATGCGCCACATTTGCGCCGGTCCCAACGGCCGAAACACCCAAAAATTGCCCGGAAATTCTGCGCGGGCCGAAGCGCTGGGGACCCTTACGGACAAAAGGCCTTAGCAGTCTTGGGAGTCCTGTATTTCTGTATCCTCGGTACTGACCTTGGGTAGTCTCGCTCCCTGGCAAGTCTTGGAAGTCATCGAAGTCTTGGAAGGCGCTGGCCGTCGGGCCATGGAGATGCTTGTTCCCACCACGAGATTTGGGTTTGGAGCAAGGTTTCGTGACTGACAATGGACCTTTTAACGGTCTCATCGACGCAGTTCCGTAAGCGCCGATTCAGGACGATGTGCGGGTGCCCCACTGCAACGTACATGTACTAAACCGATCTGCACGCCATTCCCGCAGGATCTGCCGGTTACGGGACAGAAAAGGGGGGAAATTTGTAGAAAAAAAAAAGGCCAAAAAGGAGTAAATAACACACGTGGTGAGGCTTGCTCACTATATTGGATTATCAGGGTCTAGATTGTGCCCTCCCGGTCAGGGGCTTTTGTCATGGGTCCTCGGATCTTGTTGCGGTACGTTGCACAATACATCTCCGTACGAAATTAACCACCTGTTTCCCCGCGCTTGGGCCGGTAGGGGCTGCGGGACGACGAAAGTGGTATTGTCCGGCAGAGCCATATCCGTTTTTGGCAATTTATTCGTCCTTTACCGAGCCCTCGTTTCCAGATTCAGCCCCCCATTAACAAATTATGACTGTTTTGTGATATTTGTACCATACCATTATGTGCTGCGCGCGTCTTGTCATGTCACCCCCGGCCAGCAAGCGCTTGTCGCTGCGCCGCGGCTACCGCCTCTTTAGTCTTACCGCTTTTGGTACCACCACCATTGTTTGGTTTCTCTGAGTTCCCGTCGCATTCTTGATTAGTCCACTTGACTGTGTTTGTTCCGTTTCTCCCTTGACAGGGCCTCATTTGTATTCTGTACCTTTCTTTATTTGAACTGCAAACGCGCCTGCTCTCATTATTATCTCTTATCATCATTCTACTGGTACAGCCGTAATGCAGTACTCCACTGTATACATCGAACACCTTTGCTCATCATTGTTGTTTCACTGCTACAATGTCCCTTCTCAGGGCCGCTCTCTGCCTCATCGGGGCATGGGCCGCCGCTGTCGATATGACGTTCCCGCAGACGGTTGAGATCGACCTTTCCCTCGCAACAAGGCGTATGCACCATCCACTGTTTTCCCTGTCGTCTTTGCGATCCAGAACCCGGCCCTCGCACCGTCGCTCGACCCGAGTTTCCAGTTTTGGCTTTGGCAGAAAATCACCCATAACAACTCGCCTCCACTGGCCGACATTGACCTGAGCAGTGTAAACTTTACTAGTGTCTCAGATCCCTTTTTTTAACACTAATGCTGTCAATATTAACACCAATAACGACGGCGCCGACGCATCGACGCAGTATCACTTAGTTTGGACTTTAGGCGCCGGCAACTGCTCGGCCAACACTCCGGGTGAACCAAGGCTTTGTCCTTTATCGGCGCTTCCGAGTCCCATGATGCTATTTTCAAGATTGCCAAAGAAGGCGGCATTGTGCCCTCCATCATTGAACCCGAAGCCGATACAAACAGCTGCAAATACTTACCGCACGTTGCTTACAACCCTGAACGCTGACGGTGCCCGACCCCAGCGCACAATGGGTTGGGCACGCATCATGTGCCGAGTTCTCCGACACCACGCCGACGCCCGTCTCGGTCAACCCATGCGCCGCCACGGCCGACGCGTCGGTGGCAGCGAGCATCATGTCTCGCATAACGTCATCGGTTTGTGCTCTGGCGACACCGGCCATCAGCTGTCCGGCTACAAGGTCGGGAGCGGCCCGCGGGCTCGGTGTGTCGTTGACCGTGTTTGGCATAATGACCACTGCCTGGTTTTTGCAGGCGCTTACTAGGGTTCTGTAGGATGTCTGTTATCACAACTCTACTAACATGTACGATTTACATATTATACACCGTATATATTAGTTTGGCAGAAGAATGCAAGCAGCAGCAACCAGGACTGATCCACTGTAGGAAATATAACGGGGCTCTCTTGTTCAATGTATTTTAACAATAGTTTCATTTATAGCGAATACGTGCGATACGATGGAGCCAAGCTGTTTTTTAAGAACAAGAACAAGAGAACGTCGAAGAGAAAAGACAAAATTTCATGCCGCGGCCACGTGATACGTCGTATGGTCAAAACTACGACCTAGAACCTACGGAAGTGAACTCATCTACAATGGCCACGGTATGCACTCGTCCGTCGCAGATGGAGAAAAACTACGGACACATTCGCTCTAAATCCTTCGTTCGTGCATCGTCGAGTGGCTCTCTAACAGCAACCTAACAAACATACCCCACGTGCCTGACTGTTAGGCCAATGTGGCCCATGACTTGCGACTTGGGACGTCGGTGACGAGGTGTCGTAGGATTGGCATCCAGGCCGTTGTCTGTTTGAGTTCCGCGAACGTCGTACACTCTGGTCGCTTTCAACTCGTCGATATACATAAGGCACATGTATTTTAAGGATTTTAAGGTTAATTTCTGCAATCCCACCCTGTAAGACACGGCTGTGGACTAAAAATCCTCTGCTACCCTGAGCCTTGGCGTTCTTTCCTTCACCCCTTATGATCGGCGCGATGGACCCCTGGCTCGGGGGATCGATCCTCCAAGGCTATGGGGCGCGCAGCTGAGTAAAAGCCATTTCTATGGTATTTTAGATGCACATGTGTCGGTGCTCTCTTGGGAATGGCCGAAAGTCGGTTGAGACAAGAAGGAAGAGTCCCAGTCATCTGTCTGTGTAGATTTCGGCATCTTGTAGGTGGGCGGGCCCCTCGAGTGCAGTTTGCTATTCGCTAATGACGCTAATGAATATGGAACTCAAGAAACTCCATACACACCAGACCCGACCCAACGTCCGTTCAACCTGCCATACGACGAACAATCTGCAGGCCACGGCGGATGGTACTTAACACCGAGGGCAGAAATATGACCAAGGAGAGTACTAAGTTCCGACGGGACGGCGTGGTAGCTGTTGTTTTTTATTTATTTATTTTTATAAAAATGACACAGAATGAGAATGGAGCATCGTCACACCGTATTGCCGCTGTAGCCGTCGTGCAAGCACAATGAACTTTTGGAAGTTGCCTGCAGACGGCCATTGCGAGACCGTGTCGCGGTCTGTCGTCAAAAAGGCACGCCCATCCGCCTTGCCTGACTCTCGACATGAAGTAGGGAACCATATCCCAAGGCTCTATCTCGTCTCTGTTGCTCTCCCCTCCCTATTGTCCTTCTTTTTTGTCTCGCCGTTTGCCTCTGAACGAGGCAAGCGCAGTCCCTTCTTTTCCCCCGAGTGTCCTCTGCTCATTTCTCTCATTACTTCCAAGTCGATTTGACTCCTTCGTTCATTCCCTGTCACATGTTGATAGTTGGTTTTCCTTTATTGATCTTTCCACTTATTTTTGGCCACCACTCCACGATGTTGCCTACCTGGGTGACATCCGCGGCGGCAGCCGGTTTCATACTCTTGTCATCTGGCATCATTGGCGGTGCCGATGCGTCCCACTCTGGACTGCGCATGCCCGCCTCGCCTAAGTACAAAAGCCGCAGCGGCAACTGCCCGACGTCGTGCGCCCTTGTCGGGCCCGACCCCGCTAACTGGCCCGTCTACAAGAACACGGCACAGCTAGACAAGTGCACAGAGACCATTTTCTACCACATGTCACTCTCTGACAATGTTGATGACAGTACATTGTCTCACCGCATCTACGCTTGTGCCTCGTACGGTTCTTTCAAGGCGACCGGTGCAGCGTCTTCGACTATGCGTGTGAAGCAGACGCTCGACAACGCCACGTTCACGGTGGGCCACTGGGATGAGATTACGCCGGCCGGTGCCGACTTGCGCGATTTGTCTAAGCAGGTCCGCCGTTTCTTGACCTCGGGCTTTATGGCCACCCCCGGCAACAGCTCCTCGTCGTATGCCACAGCGGGCAACCAGCCTCAGGTCCTGTTTGCGCAGACCAGTGGCGGCACCGTCGGTCTCTACGTCGGCAAGGCTATCCAAAGCCTATCATCCGTTACGGGCGCCCTCAAGTCGCTCGAACAGTCACTAACCGCTACGAACGAGACCACCGGCACAGTGGCGCTTGAGCTGTGTGGCACACACTACGATGCCGACCACATTATTGGCTTTATGGCCACCAGCAATACTTCTTTTGTGCCGGTCCAACAGGTTCTCCAGTCGTGGTCTAAGGCATCCTGTATCGACTACAACTCGACGCAAACGTTCATCAGCCCTGTCTCATTTACAACACCGTTGGCTATTCCTACCACGAACTCTACGAGTACATCCAACGGCACCGTGGTGGCGCGCGATTTGCACGGCCACAGCCACCACCATAGCCGCTCGCCCCATGCGCATACCTTCCTGACGCCCCGTGCCGACTGCACAACCGTTCAGGTTGTGTACGGTGACACATGTGGCACACTAGCCACCAAGTGCGGGATCTCGGCTGCCGACTTTACCAAGTACAACCCCAGCTCAACACTATGTTCAAAGCTAGCACCTGGCCAGCACGTTTGTTGCTCGTCCGGTACGCTGCCCTCGTTTGCGCCTAAGCCTAACAGCGACGGCTCATGTTATAGTTATACCGTTGTGGCCAACGATAACTGTGCTGACCTGGCGGCCGCTTACGACCTGACCAACGATTTAATTGAGAGTTTCAATAACGAGACCTGGGGCTGGCAGGGCTGCGGTAATGTGCTCCTTGGTGCCGTTATTTGCCTGAGTAGGGGCTCGCCTCCGATGCCTGCTGCTATCGCTAACGCCGAGTGCGGTCCCCAAAAGCCTGGTACGGTGGTGGGTCCCGGCGGCACTTACAACCTGTCTGGTCTTAACCCTTGCCCGCTTAACGCCTGCTGTGACATATGGGGCGAGTGTGGTATCACTGAGGAGTTTTGCGTTGACACGTCTCTGGGCCCCCCGGGTACGGCAAAGAAAGGCACCAACGGTTGTATTTCTAATTGTGGTACCGACGTGATTTCAGGCGACGCGCCCATTAGTCCTATTAACCTAGCCTACTTCGAAGGTTACGGTATGGACCGCCCCTGCCTGTATCAGGATATTTCGCAGTTGAGCACGGCCTATACCCACGTCCATTTTGCCTTTGCCACGCTTGATCCTTCTACTTATGCCGTCTCCGTCGGCTCCGCCGCGAGTACCTACGAGTTCGATCGTTTTACGCGTCTTGGTAATAGCTTCCACCGTGTGTTAACCGTCGGAGGCTGGAGCTTTTCTACGGATCCTAGTACTTACAGTATTTTCCGTAACGGCGTTACGGCCGTTAACCGCGTGGCTATGGCGACAGCTATTGCCAACTTCGTTAAGGACAACGAATTAGATGGTATTGATATCGACTGGGAATATCCTGGTGCACCGGATATCCCTGGAATCCCCGCTGCTAGTACCGACGATGGCGCCAACTACTTGGCCTTTTTAGTGGTCTTGAAGAACCTACTACCGGGTAAGACCGTTAGTATCGCCGCTCCTTCGTCTTACTGGTACCTTAAGGGCTTCCCTATTAAGAAGATTAGCGAGGTTGTCGACTATATTGTCTACATGACCTATGATCTACACGGCCAGTGGGACAGTGGTAACTCTTACTCGCAAGAAGGATGTCCTACCGGCAACTGCCTCCGGTCGCACGTTAACTTGACCGAGACCATGACATCGTTGGCCATGATTACCAAGGCTGGTGTGCCGTCGGGCAAGGTTGTCGTCGGTGTCACTAGCTACGGCCGTTCGTTTGGCATGACCGACCCTGGCTGTTACACCCCCGAGTGTACTTTTGGTGGAGGTGCGGCCGGCTCCACGGCCACTCAGGGCCCTTGCACGGGCACTGGAGGCTACTTGGCTGACGCAGAGATTACGGATATTATGGAAGGCACCAATAGTACCAGCAATGAGAAGCGCCGTCGCCGCCGTGACTCTACAGCGCTGTCAAGTCGTGTTAACCAGTACTATTACGACAAAGACAGTGACAGTCAAATCCTGGTGTTTGACGACAACCAGTGGGTTTCGTTTATGACGGCCGACATCTTAGCTTCACGCACTGCGAAATATAAGAGCCTGGGGTTGGGCGGCACTACCAATTGGGCCAGTGACCTGCAGACATTCAACGAGGTACCAGGCAATATGCCCAACTGGGACGCATTTATACTGGCCGTCAAGACCGGTCTCGACCCGATGTCCGAACTGTCCGTTGATCCTACGCAAATATCGGGCAACTGGACCAAGCTGAGCTGCACGGACCCGGCCGTCGTTGACGTGCGAAACCTGACATCCGAGGAGCGCTGGGACCGATTGGGCTGCACGGACGCCTGGAACGACGTTATTAACGTATGGAAGACAACCGACATTAACAACGGCATGTACCTCAGTGCGTCAATTTCGGCGTCTATCAACGGCCCCGAAAACTCGAACTGCGGCTCGCTCGCTGCCACAAGCAACTGCGACCGTATTCTGTTGTGCAAGGACGTTGAGAATACCCAAGGCTCAGGCCCCGCAGCGTACGAGATCTGGAACTCGCTCGTTTACGTCCACGAGATATACGAGACGTTCCACAGCACCATTATTCAGGCGGCCGCGCTGTCACTAAATCCGGCATTGGACCATTTTGAGAACACTTTTGCGCCCGTGACGCCGCCCGACACCGAATGGCTCGATCTTCTGCTGGCATTTGTGAACTTGGCTGGAACCATTGTGGTGTCGAGCTTTTTCAATAGTATTCTGAAAGCACTTCCGTTCTTCAAAGCTAACGGTGTCCAATACGACAACTACAAGGACGCCGGCAAGGCCCTGGTCAGCTTCGGCGTGTCGGTTACAGGCACCTATGTGAGCGGTAGCCAGAGTTCGTGGACGCCGGCCTCGCAGACGTCCTTCTCTAACTACCTCGGCCAGTTCGTCGACATTTGGGCCAACTCCACTGAGCAGCAACTATCAAACATCTTTAGCGGCCAGCCTAACACGCTGCCGATCCTGGCTAGTCTTATCGACAAGGGCCAGATGATTGAGGGCGCCACCGGCTCCGACAGTGCGGCTGATACAAAACCTGACGTCGGTATATCGGACGCCACTACCACTTCTGTGGAGGCGAGTATTAAACGATCCTTCTATGCTTTTGCCATTCCTGCCGTGTGGCGCGCCTCGGGAACAGGTGCTTTCATTCTGGACACGGGCGCCGACTGCAGCGACTTGAATGTGGCCCACCAATACGTTGATCCGTCCATCCAGAAGCAGGCCATGGGTTGCATCGACAACCACCTTTACTTTTTGGTCTTCCCTGATGGTAAATCCCCTGACTCCTGTAATCTTGAGGACTGTCGGGACGATGGCTTTTCCCTGCCAGCCGGAGTCGACATGCTCGATGGCTCGTCGTGGGGCGGCGTGACGGTAGCTGATATCGTTAACGGGTCCCTCCGCACGTATATAGCAAACGGTCACAAGAACGGCGGCTACAGCGCTGACCCCTCGGACACGTCCACTATGAATAGCCTGTATGACCAGGACATTACCACGCCCGGTTACATCAGCCTTCCAGTCTGCTCGGGCCAGACTGCTTTCCGGACCTGGCAAGTGCACAGTGACCGCTCGCTCGATAACTGGCCCTGCTACTTAACGCCACAGAGGGGCGCCTGCGAGTCGTCGAGTTTCATCGACCAGACCTCAGACGCGTCGCCCTCGGTCGACGACTGCATGCACCTTGTCAACAACATTATCGGCACAGACGGTGAATGGTACAAAGATACGGCTGGTTTAGCGCAGCACTGGGTGGCGGGGTATGGAAGCTGCAATTTCGGAATCCAGGCCACCGATCTACACGGCAACATCAACTTCCATATTACGGCGCAGGACATTGTGGATATTATCACCGACTCCGTGAAGCTCTTTGGCGGTAGCGGCAAGGTGGGCGCGAAGGGCTATATGGACTGCGACGGCAACGTCAACTCGCAGGATGTGCTATGGGGCCTATACTAAGTGGTGGCAGTAGATGGTGACTGTTGTTGAGTTTTTGATGGGGTAGGGAGACGGCCTCTATACGAATAAGAAGTTGAATTGTGGGCGCCGTCTGAATCTTGTGATCTTTCCTTTCATTATCTTCTTACAGGTATATATTTAGTCTTCTTGGCATAATTGTCTTTCGTTTGTCTATGCCGATGAATCGCATGTTTTCGTTTACCCATTTTGAAAGCAGTCGTTTGAACCGATTAGTTATTCGACCCGAGAGGTTCATTTCCCTGCCTAATGTGTTTTTGTTTAACATATAGTTTTACCTAGCCACACGTCGTTTTCTCTAACTTTTGTGGTGGCCACACATCCTAGCCCAACCTCTAGGAACAAGCACGTACCCCATGATAATTTTGCATTATGGGCGTGAAGACAGTGAGGATACGCATTTACAGGTCGACAAAGCGGCCGAGAGCGCCTACCGCCAACAATTGCCTGCCCATCAAACGGCACCAGCCAGCACTACGGTACTTTAGACCTGCCATCTGAGGGCTCTCTATTTTGCCAGTTAGTCTAGCGGTCTAGTTCCTATACATATAAGTGGATTATTGACGCATGACTTTATGCGCTGCATCGTTTCTAGCGGTAGCCGAGCAGTAAGAGTCACATGGAATTCCAGCGGCCAGCCTTCCAGTGAATGCGGTGACGGCCCGTCTGGCAACGGCCCGGCGACAGCCCGATCAGGTGAGGGCACCGCGAGCTCCTAGGCGACGTTGGAGTCGGTGCCATGTGTTTCGTGAGTCTCGTCCGACCTATGGACTCGGTGCCATGGAGGCTGGATGAGCTTGAAAGGGGTACCTTCTAATCCCGGCCCACGGTCGACACTTTCTGTGACTGGATCAGCTTGCTCGTCGCGGACCGTATGACAACGTTGGGAGTTACTTGATACAACACATCTTATTCCGGTGTGACTTACATTTAAGGCCGGTGTAAGGTGCGCGGTGATTAAGCCGTATGTTGGAAGACGGAACATCTTACTTGTAGTCACTGTTTTTCCTTTTTATATATTTATTTTCGGAGATGTTCAACTCATATGATAAATTGATACCCGATGCTAAGTCTACAGAGCACTGTGTTGCTTGTATCTTACATCTACGGAATGAGGACATATATGTAAAACGAAAGCACGTGAGTAAGCACGGGGTAAAGGTGGACAAAGAGATCGGTTTGGCTCTTCCAGTGAATCCTTCGTAACGGGAGACAAGGCATCTTTGCGGAGTACTGCCCCTATTTTATTAAGTGAGACTAATCGAGCCCCATTGTAGCTCACAACTGGATTTAGTTGCTCGCTAGAATGCTTCAGCTGGAGAGCTGTATTACTCTGCGCCCCGTGTCGCATGGTGATTACATCCTACGGTGTATGCATCTCGGCCTCTTTTACCAAAATTAAAAGGACATAAAAGCCTTTCATTTAATGTTGTTTGTGGCGAGACTATTTAGAAGCCGGCGCTTTTAAGTTGAGGAGTATTACGTCGTATTTCTCTGTATTTACAGAATGATTACAACAACAGAGAGTGTACGGCTGCTTTCAGCCGTACATGCGCTGCCTCCACGAGGCTTGCAATGCGCGCCCAAGCTGGGAAAGAGCTCCTTGACTGTGCTCAGCAATGGCTTCACGCACACTTCGTCTCGTTCGCCATCCCAGAGATTGCGCGACATTTTTCGTACTCTGTAGTATCTGTCTCCCTTAACTCTTCCCTATCATTTTTTTTCTTGTTATCCTTTTTACCTAGGCCCCCGTAACTTTTTCCCTTACTCTGTCAATCCTCCTCCTCTGGCACTCTTTTGCCTCTCCTTGCATTCCGACACTCTGTCCTCGCTACGTATACTTACGAGACACACCGCGACCCATCTTCGAGCCTCCCTTTATCGTCCGCACCTTTCTACGCCGCGCATGCACTTATTGGCTGGTGCTAGGCCGTCATAGGAAAGGGTCGTCATGTCCAGTAATCAGGCCGGCGGCAGCGGCAGCGACTCCAGCAGTAGCACAAATGGAAACGGCAATAGCAATGGTGGTTCAGACACGATCATCGCCATCGTGGCCCTGGTGGTGTCTGTTATCGCCCTGATCGGGACAGGATTACAGGTCGTTCAACAATACATGGCCTCGGCGGCTGGCTACTCCAACTGCGATGCCGCTGTGATCGGGCCCTGGCACACAACGAAGAAGCGGCGGTTTCGCTTAAGCGAAATGCGCTTCCAGGTTCTATTCGAGACGCCTGTATTCTTCGTCTGCCCGGCCGACAACAAGAGAGGGCCTATCAACGGAGCGCCGGTGTGGTTTGTTAAAGGTGACCCTGAAAGCATTGTCGTTACACGCTCTTTGCCGTTGGACGGCCCCGGCACGAACAACAGCGCAGACAAGCCGCCCCAGCAAGCAGACGGGAAGCAAAATGAAACAACTGACCACGCCAGCCAAGCAACCTCATCGATGCCCAAGATTGCACATGTGTTGCAAGACAAGCGCGGAGTCCACACAGCTGACAACGAGATGTCGACGTGGGTGCGCCTTCTGCAGGAGCTTCATCGCATGGAGCGCGACTCGCAGCACTGGCAGAAGACGCAAGTGGAGCTGAATCCACCACATAGCGCGTGCTCCTTTGAGGAGCACAAACTCTGCGTGGCCCTTCAGTCAAAAAAGCGTTCCTGGGACACTATGCCGTCTAGCATAAGCAGGCCGTATGCTGCGTCGACTATTTGCCACCTCATCGAGATGGCAGCCATGCTGGGCATATACTGGAAGGAGTTCGACCGGTCTGCTGGTCGGTACCGGGCAGAAGGCAACGGCTATGTCCTCACGGGCAACCACATGGCAGATTTGGGGATTGTGTTTACCTTTCAGATATGCGGCAAGAGCCGATTCAAAGAAAATCGCATCATCCCTGCAGATGAGGTCAAGGAGCTCGCGTTTGGCCTCGTGCCGACTATTTTCCGCAGGAAAGAGGACCTTCGCCGACTTGCGTTCACGTCCGACGATACGCGCAGTCTGGAGACTCTCTTGCTCGGCAACCGCAATGAGCTTGCAGAGACACTAGCATCGATTGGCTGCAACACAAACACATCGAACAGTCTCCGCGATGAAACGAAGAAGCATGGCCACCTATTTCCTCGTAAGTCATAGTTACCCAACATATCGACAAATAGCGATATGGGCGCACCGAGCTCCCAGACAAAACCCCTCACGTTTGAGAAGTATACCTGACAGGCTTCCAGTCGCTTTCGAAATTACAGGCATGCTGGGGCGGACGCTTCATATCAAGAAAAGTCTTTTCCGTTTTTTACCAAACCCGACATTTTATCACTGGGACCGGAAATATTTTAGCATGCAGAAGCTCCTACAGGAATACCGATCCGAGATTGGCCGCCTAGGAGCGAACGAGCTGCAGATCAAGGAGCTGCAGACGCTGGCAAACTTGACTGTCGACCTGCTTCTACGCAAGCCTGAACGCGACAAGGCCGGACGGGTCAAAAGGGCCTTGGAGGACGCCATCGACCGCCCGCTAATGACTGTCCTGCATGAGAACCTCGATAAATGCGACTTATATTTGAAGAGAAAGGGCCGGAAAGCTGTTGAGATTGTCCTACGCGAGCACGTCCAGGAACTCCTACACATGGTTAACAACGAGGGCGACTATGGTCCAGGTCGTGAAGAGGTAGGTACGGCAGGAACCGGGGTAGGACTCGGCACGTCCGAGGCTACCAGAACTGGGGAATCCAGTCCACCAGGTACGGGGAGTGATGCGGACAAATTTGGAACCCCTTTGCGCTTCGACGACGTGATGACGGCCTCGCCAGAAGTTCGCCAAAGAACATTGATGAGGATATATTTTTCACGTTTGCAACCGCGCGTGGTGCAGTTGGCCGAAACTGCATGGCTACAGCAGGACGATGTCCACAGTGATGACAACAATCTTAACATTGTCCATGCCGATAAATTTGATGCCGAAAACATCGATACCGATGTAGGTGGCGACGATGTCGACGGCAACGGCAACGTATTTCGTCGACTGGAGGCGGCAAGCGTGTGGTGTACGCTGGTGTTCCGGATGCTATGCTGGCTACTGTTGCACGACTTCAGCAAGATGGATGTGCAGATTTCTAAGAGCGAGCTTTTGGGCAACCGCCTTCCGGTGTACATTTGGTGATGAACTGTACAGACTCGCTTAGAACCAAAGCTGCCTGCGAACACGTCCTATGCTGGGACGGGCGCTTGCGTGCGCTTGGAGGGAGAGGCGTGGTACGGCTGTCACGACATACATATGTAGATGTGATGGGGAAGCGTATATACATATGCTGCATGGGATAAGGTTCCGTCGGCATTCCCACCTGCAGTGATGCTGTGCATCAGCAAGCGGTATGCTATTTGGGGGAGTAGGGAGGGGAAGATGGATCTGCCATTCTGTCACTTCAGCAAGATATCTAATGAGGTGCCAGTACGTTAAACGGGCAATATAGATAAGACACGCAAAGGATGGGTGATATGTCGCCCCTGCGGCCACACATTGATTTAAACATAACACGGCAGCGCGCTGTGCTCGTAAAGGCGGACGAACAGAAGTTTGCTGCTCTTTGAGTACCAGGTGTTTTGTCATATAGACTGTCGACATCCGGAGTAACCAAAAAGAATACTGCGTCATCGTCGCCAGCAGAGTCACCTCTCTTCTTCTCCAGACCGACTTCCAGAATTGTCGGGTAGGCCTTGGCTATGATGTGGTCGTTTTTTGCCGTATTCCATCTACTCCGTTCACAAGGAGGCCATATAATCCATCGTCTACTTGTCTTGCTCGAGTCAATCCCCTCAGGTTGCTACATCCAGGTAGCCGGATTCGCAAAATTCTTCGTTTGCCCTAGACTTTGGCTGGAGTGGGTGAATTGGGCGGCCTCAGCTGGAATATGGTCCTTGGAGCCCAACCAAAACTCCACCGCCCAACACATGTCGGTGAGGGTGGGGGATGGTTTGCGTATGGACCAAATGTGATATGACCTGATGCATGAATCAATACGTAATACGATCCTGCTTCCGCTAATCACGGACGGACTGACCTCTTCTCCTGTGCATCGACCACTATGTTACCGAGCTTCTGCATACACATACTTTCTTCAAATTCACGACCTCGCGCAACGGTGAATGAAGTCGCGTTCCTTCCTAGAGAACCCGCCCGACCGTGCCTTTACGCTTTTCCATCTGTTCTCCGTCGTATTGCGCACTACCTTCATAATGCCGTTTGAACAGACGATAACGATCATCAACAATTCCGGAAAAATCATCAGCACTGTAAGTCCCTGTTTCGCGCCTTTTTGTCCCGGCGCTTCCTATGTCTCCAGCAGCCTCCCTTGTACCTGTGTCGGGTTGCTCAGTACGTGCGACTATGGGGCAAACATCTAGTTGGCATTTTCAAGGAAGCACGGTCGGCCTACAAGGAAAAGAAAGAGACCCTTCGACAAGAACGACATTCTGGTATCCGCCGCGCGCGGACGTTTGACCTTTCCCGCAGCGAAGGCTACCACGGCCCTCTCTGCGAGGTTGAGGAATATGACGATGCACACCACTATGATCAACGCGAAGGCTATTATCACAACCATCGTTCTCTGGGACAAGCTGCACCGCCGCTTTATCTTGAGGACGGAGGTCATAGCCGCCGCCTTTCCCTGGATGGTGGTGACCGCCGCTCACATTATTCATTGAACAATCGCCAGCCGCGCCGATCGCAGCGTAGTTCTACTGGTAGCGGCACTTCGGTGAATGGAGCGAGGAGCAGCTTTCGGCCCCACCAACCGCCGTTGACTGCACACAACCTGCGTGACCTCTCTCAAGCTTGCGATGGACATTCGCAAGCATCAGATTCCCGTCGCAATAGCCATGGCTTGTACGCCAAGACGAGCGCTCACAATCTGGTACCCTTGCGCTCTGCTCTAAACGATATACCTCCGATGAGCGTGACCCATACGGCTGCGCTGCCGCAAGGAAGGAGTAACTCCCCGGCTGTCGCTCTCTCGTCACCGCGCGCCTCGATATTGGTTCACCGACCACGATCGGACTCCGCACTGAGCCGTCTACCCAAGGACAGTGGAAACGTGCCGCCGCCGAAACTTATTGATACGAACCTAGCATACGGCAATATACCGCCTGATTTGGAGTCGCGCATCGACTTGGACCCTGAAGCCTTTATTGTGGATAAGGCTGACGAGTTGAAAGAATCTTATGCCACGACACTGGTCGACCGCATTGAGACGCTCTTGAATGAGGCACAATGCATTCACCACACAGCTGCGTCCATCATCCGCCATCTACAAGACAAGCCCGAGGCCGCTGCCGCGGTCGCTTTAACTCTGGCAGAACTTTCAGCGCTGCTAACGAGACTGAGCCCTGCCTATCTAGGAGTGGTCAAGGGCGGAAGCCCGGCCGTCTTCGCTCTTCTGGCCAGCCCCCAGTTCCTCATTGGTACCAGCATTGTTGTGGGGGCCACGGTTATTCTGTTTGGCGGCTGGAAGATTGTCAAGCGCATTTCCGAAGTGCGAGCTGCGCGTGAGGAGGGAAGGCAAACGTTTGCGACGGGCGATCAAAGTGGCGGGTTTCCGCAGCAGCATGCTCCGGGGATCGATTCAGAAATAGTGCTTGGCACCGCCGAAGAGCCGCTTTCAGCCTTACAATCGTCCTCGCGTGGCTATGAAGAAGCACTCGTGCTGGAGGAAGAACTGTGCACTATTGAGACATGGCGCCGTGGAATCGAGCCAATACTTGATGGAGGATCCGGTATCAAGCCGTGGGAAGCCAGTGAGGTTGACCTTGAGCTAATCAGTCCGAAGGCGATGCGCTCGTGTATTGGCGATGATGACCAACGTACTCTGAAGAGCGCTCGAACCGCCAAATCTCTCGGACACATGTCGACACGAAATACACGCTACTACCACCGCCACCGCCAAACACATCACCAGAACAGTATTCGAAGCAGCGAACAGGTCACAGGAACTGATGACTCTCCGGACAAGCGGCAAAGCCGTAGTAAGAACCGTCGGCGTGATGAAATTCGTAACCCCCCCTGCAGTTCTCGCACTCGCCACGGTGACGAAAAAAGCAGTGAGTCGGCGAGATCTACGACAAGCCGCAGCAACCGGCACAGTGGGCGCTCACGCACGGATGGTCGCCGAGTATTAGACAATAGTCCGAGTGGCCCGGCATCTGATACCGGCACCGTGCAAAGCAGGGAGAGAGGAAATCAAAATACAGGGAGCAACATGTTCAAACAGCTTTTTAAAAGGAAGAAGGACAAGGACAACAAATAATGCTAGGAGTCTATCATGTCCATTCTGGCGTGATGCTCGGCATGTCTGGTGAGAGCACGTTAACTGTTGCCTTCGCTGGGGCTTATACTGACCGCTTCCAAACTGATAAAATTTGTCAGTGGTGGTGGCGATGCTATGTAACTCTAATTGAATCATGAGGCGTTTGCGGAACTAGTCCAAAAAGAAAATATTTCTAAACGTATAATAATTAAGCTGTTATTTTGAGTAGTGTATTTGTACAGTTAGATCAGCTAGCAGCGTGCCCATGGGTTTCACTATCCCGTTTTTTGCGGGCTTATTCCTTTCCTGAGTCCTCTGACTCCTCGATGACAATAGGTGGTGCCTGACGTACTTCCTCATAGAGGCTGTCAGGTAAGGTGTCCTGCGTTACATCGATTGCATACATGCCAGCAGTTTGCATCGACGTCTGCTTCCGCTGTTTATTTGACAACTTTTCCAACTTGCTAACTGGTCTCGGTAGTGTACTCCCCTTAATGTAAGAATCGGGGCCCGATGCGGTAGTGGCAGTTGTTGCTTGAGAGGACCATGTTGAGCTTGGGGTGTTTGGTGGCATTATACGGTTCTTGGCCGGAGACCCGTCTCGGATCATAGCAATATGACAGCCACGTGTCGTTCGACGCCTGTAGGTTTGAAAGGCGTCGGGTGCTCTTGGCCGGCTCTGGTCGCTCGAGGGACGACCCTCTTGTTGTGTTTCAGCTATATCACTTGAGAGCTGCGCTTCAACTTCCTGGGATATGGACATTTCATCACATTTGCCACGGGCCTCGTTGCTTTCACAACTATTCCCTCCACTTTCAACGCCTGGCCTGGCAGTCTCCTCGAAAATAGCACAACGCAGGTTGCCCAGGAGAGATCCAACTATAGCTGGAGACAAGTAGTCGTACCGTCGAGGGGGTCCTGCCCATCCATTTTTTCGCATCACGTCAAGGGACACAGGGTTGTTCAATTGGTACACCTGGACAAATTTGTATGCAAACTTGGCCACTAGCTTCCCGGCATTGAACTCGGCATTGCCAACACCGCTATCGTTGTTGATACCGCCGGGTTGCTTGAATCCAGCTGCAACTACAGCCATGTATTGTAGCTCGCAAACTGGTCGGGTGGCATACATCCAAAAGCGACTGACTGTGTGAGGGATCTTGAAATTTCGAAACTCGTGATCTTTGGCTCCCATGACGATCTTCCGGATTTGCTCAGGGTGAATGGAGATGATGATGTCGGACCGGTCAGTTTGGGGCCCCAAGGAGCGAATTGTTTCTAGTGGAATCCGTTGACTCTCCAAAGCCTGGCTATATTGCTGGTCATCTACTGGCAGGTTCGAATCTAGGCGGCTGGTGGATGACATTGTGGATCGGTCCGTGGCCGTGAGCGAGCTTGACGTCTCACAGTTTGGCCAAGTTTGAGTCGCTTCCGTTTCGACGCCTCTTCGAAATAATGTGGCAGCACCAGCAGCGCGCCTTGATTTTGGGACAGATATGGGCTTCGCTGCTACCGTATCTGGCGGTGGAGGGTGAGCGACCAGCGGCGAGCCCAAAAACCGTATACCACAATGGTCACCAAACTGGCCACCGAGCCGGGCGTTCGGCCGCGGTCTTGGGACCGACCGTTTCATTGGGATGCAGGGGCCAGACAAACGGCATCCTTCTTCGTCGCTATCAGAAATCTCTCCTAAAGTACTTGCAACTGCTCTGCCTCCCTCTATTGAGTATCGATTTGGAGCGAAAATCAAACAGGGTGCAGTTACAGGAAGAGGTTGGAAGACATCCTCGATACCCATGGACATATTGCGTTTGTCGGGCTGTAGATGTTCAGATTTTTCTGTCATTTCCACTAAGGTAATAGCCTGTTGTGCCACTCCGTTGTAAATGCGAAGATCTGGCTTGAAGGGCGAGTCTGGCAACGCCCTCCTACGTCGTTTAGAAACGTTACTTGCTCTTACGTCGTTAGACACCAAATCCCGTTTTGGTCCTGATGGAGTAGGACTAGTCGAGTTTTGCCGGATTCGAGAAATGGGAGAGGAGGCTTGGGAGTCCATGTGCCCCCCAGGAGGCCACACTGGAGTAAACGGGCTGGGCTGGGACGATGGGATCTCTGTTCGCGTTGCCTTAGGTGTGAATAACAACGAATTTGAGATTGCGTTTGTAACATTTGCGTTTGGCTTAGAGGGCGTCATCTCAATGACTTTCAATTGTTGCCGTGGAGATAGTAATGCCTGTCTTGACTTCGCGCCGGGTGGAAGCAGAGGGCAAGTATCATCGTCGTCGGAATCTTGGATCGTAGTATGGATTTCGCAATCGTAGACGTCGTCATCAACATCGGAGGCTAGGACTGTATTTTTAGAGATGAGTTGGGTTAACGTCTGGGTATGGTAAGAAGTGTTCGCCAGTGCCCTGTCGGTAGATTTTTGCAGTATCTGTCGTTGTTTATTCTGCTTGCGGCCGGAGCTGTCTCGACTTGTGTTCTCCTCCTCTGCGCTGCCCGAACTGCTTGACTGGTCATCACGACAGGCCGTCAATTTCAGCTCTTGTCCGAATAGTTTGGTTTTGCGCAGACTTGGTGAAGACGATACGACACATTCGATTTGCGTTAGCGTCCGCTGCTTTTGTGTGAGTGAAGACTCGTGCCGGCCATATTTCCTCACGACTTTCCGTCGGAAGGGAAAACGGAGCTGGTGTGGCGATCGGTTCGAGCGGTAGACGCAGGAAACTCTCTTGTCCTGCGTTGGCACAGGCCCCAAGACATTGGAGCTCATCGTTGACGGCAGTATACACAGGATGGTCGTTGATCATGTCGTCGCCGGAAATTTTAAGAGTTCGACCTCACACATTATCGTCGCTCGCTCCAATTACGTATAGACAACAAACGAGTATTTATTGTGTTCCTCGAGAAATAAAACTATTCGTCCTTTTGGTGGGGCCAATACGCGCTTTCATCATAGGCGCGTCGCGTTAAAAGGCCCCTCCAGATGGGTCCGACTTAACACTAAAACGGGGGGTTTCGTTATTCTCCCGAGTAAGGCTAGCTCAGAGTACGGCGTACGTATAATACTGACATAGGTCTCCAACTTTCCACATCTTCACAATTTTAACCTTTGCTTTATATTCACATGAATGGTAAATATTTTACCAGAGGCCCTCATCCCTTGGAAACAAAAGATACTATATCCTCCTATTTTGATAAGATGATGACGGTGACAGGTCACCCCACCGCCACAGACACCAATGACCTGTTTCCAAGCAAACAGCTAAATCCTGCGTTTTTGTCGGCCTGTAGTATCACGAGAGGTGGAAAGCACCCTGTCCCTCCTTGATGGCTGTGAAAAGTTGCTTTCGGAGAACATCGATGCTGGTATAGTCAGGAAGTTTGAGATAATTAACACAAGTCATCACACTTGGGAGGTAATCGTCCGACGAGTATGGGGCCTCACTGGGCTTGCAAACCACTGTGAACATAGGCGTCAAGCTGCGGAATCCTGTTACACGTAAACTTCCATGTCAGTGATGCATTGTACCACAGTTATCTAACAAAAACCCTTGCGTAAAGAAATTGTGGAAACACCCACCACCTATGGGGAGCCTCGGACTCCCTGTTGCAAATTGCAGGAAATCGCGCCTTTCGATTAGCGACATTTCGCTCATGACTTGGAGAAGATTTTTGACGTTCCGGCTATCCATGTTGAAGCCGTGGTCGGCTTTAATAGAATCCGAAAGGGCTATTTTTGAGTAGAAATACGGTTAACTGCAAGTTCTGTGTTGATGGCAGCGTTGACCAACAGCATCGAGTAATTAACTTACTTTCAAGGGACCAATCTTCGTCCACGTGGCCGAAAAGTGACACAAGCTCGTCAGGTGTGAATGCACTCAGGGCAGAATACGGAAACACTTCCGAAAAGCCCCTGCGAAAAGCGTCCACTTGCAATCGCACGCCTCCTTCTAAGGTCATCGCCACAACCTTGTCAACATATGTATCAACATTACTCATGGTAACGCTGATATGGCAGCCTCCCGGAATCAGCTCAATATCTGGGTAGCCGGGCAAGGTGAAATCAAGGGAAAGGTCGTCGATGCGGGTGTCGTCAATAGTGATGGCCTGAATGCCAGCCGCCTTTTCAGTAGCTGACAGATCAACACCCTCTTCAATAACCTTCTTAGCATTCGCAAACTTCTTGATGAGTAAAAGCGACCGAGCCAACGTCGGGTCAACAACTTTTACAGCACCAAGAGATGGCCGCCACCCCTGGGATCCGTTTCCTATGCGGAAGAAGATAGGGTTGAAGTTGATATCAATGATGCGTGAGTCAAGCATAGACCTGGCCACAAACCTGCCAAGTGCTTTGAAAAGGCTCATCAAGCGCTGACCGTTCGTACCCTCTGCATCTTTTGCAGAAATAGGACGTGGGAAGAGTCCGTTCGGGCCCGAAACAAACTCAGAGTCCCCAAGATCATTGTCCCGCCAAAGCCTAAGTTTCTTCTTAGAAAATTCCCTCGACACAGTAGAATAAAATTCGAGAGTTGGCCCCAGCCCAGTGCCCACTTCTTCGAAATATTCAACTTCAAGTATGCTCTGCGAGGTCCCATAAAGCTCCATGACTTTCACTGCCGATTCGAGTATCTTCGACCTGGAAATCCTAACCTTTTGCCTTTGGAGGCGTCCCAGAAAAGGGCGATCCTCACGGCGAACGCCGCGTGACTCGTCTTGCACCTGTGCATTCTGCCATCGTGCCATAGAGCGGGCGTATCCAAACGAGGTAGACTGCAAAAAGAGGTGACGAGTCTCAAAGGGAAACAAGAACGGGTACATCCTTGCTAGATCCTCACTCCAGTTAGGCAGGCAGTTGCTGGCTACAATGAG